AATAGCTCATTCAGTAGAACATAAATTAAAGTTAATTAGCGTAAACAGTTTATTACATGAACATAGGCCTAATTAGTGATCAAGATCTACTGTGTGTGTGTACAACAGTCGCTTGTATATGCTTGTATGATAATCTGATCTAAACACAATACTTTTATTTAGTGGGTTTTTTTTTGTTTTTGTTTTTGTTTTTGTTTTTTGTTTTTTTTTCATTTTGGAAGCTGAACAACAATAATTTAGGCCAAAAATGGCTACCGTATCCGAAAACGCCATTCCTCTACACCCAGGCCCAATGTCTGTTTTCAAAATGACCTACAGAGAATGAATGAAAATAAATGGGGAAAAAATAATGCCACCCTTGCTTCGCCTACTGCACTAAATTCTGATATTCATCGTATATGTTGAGTATTTATTGGCGGTCACTGTACTTTATTAAGAATAAGACTACAAATAGTAGACCTAATGTACACTTTTTTTTTTTATATAGGCCTACCATAATATATTTTAAATGCAAGGTTAATCCCAACTATTATATCGGAACAAATTATAGACAATAAATCAGTGGATAGAAAAAGCAATTTAAAGAATGAAATAATGATATGTTAATTCAGTAAATATCCCATAGGCCAATGAGTACAGGACCAGAGTCAAGCAAATTTTACTTTGATCATAGAGAAAATAGAACTGATAGAACATAGAGTCAAAACCACAGGCCCTACACTTCCAGCCGGCGATGCAGTACACTGCAAGGAAGACGTTCCAAGTTCACTTGATACGCCGTGGCGTATCAACAATTGAAAACTACTTTTATACATTACCAGTGCGTTTTATAAATGAAATTAAAATCCGTGTAGTAAAAAAACATAGTCATTTGGTACATTCAAGCGTTTAAAAACGATTTAATGATAATACATTTTAAATTTAATTATTTAAAAAAAATTATTATAAAATTAATAACCCATATGGAATGGTCCATGGTTAATCAACGACGCAGCAAAACATGTGCTTCGCTGTTTGAAAAGGGGTGAAAGCAATACATTGAACAGCAATCTAGAGAAAACACGGAGAAAAAAAATATTTTACAGTATACAATACAATACCTTTTTTAAAGAGCCTGATAATCATATATAATAAATATATTCTTCGAAATTAATCAACATTGAAATAGAATAGAGTCTAGGTTTGTGCCGTATCAAAACATGTGTTTCATCGGTAGAAAGGGGTGAGAGCAGTGCATGTAAATGCTAGCTGGAGAAAATTGTTTTTGCTTTTTTGAAACGTTTCTCGTCACATACAATGGATATACTGTTCCACCAAAGTTGCAGATTAATCAATATTAAAATAGATAACATATAGGCCTAGGACAACTGCTCACATTTATGTCAGATAAAGGTACTAATATGAAGTTCAATATTTTTCTACGTTCATGATGGAATGTAGGCCTACTGTAGACCGATATCTGTCTGTCGTCCTTGACAGTTTTATTTAATAAAACGATATAAGAAATGATAATTTTAAAGAATAACTGTAAAAAGATATAATTAGGCCTAACAAAAATTCATAAAATTGCCTGTTTTCGATTTTTAATTTTACTCCGTAATTTTTCTGAGTAAGCCAAAGCCTAAGCCTATCCATGGATGTATAATATCTATGTCCTAGGCCTCTCCTAGTTTTATATTTCTGATGTCTGTCAGGGGAGGATTTAGGGGGGGGGCGGCCCGGCCCGGCCCCCCTTTTGGGAGGTAAAAAAAAGAAAAAAAAAAGAAAAAAAAGAGAGAAAAAGAAAAAAATGATAGCCCAGAATGCCTCAAATGTTATGTTCGGGCGTCTAGAACACAAAAATTTCGCGGGGGCATGCCCCAGACCCCCTACGACAGTGTCTGTCTCTTATACACATCTAGATGTGTATAAGAGACAGATTGGACATTTCTGGATCCGCCCCTGTCTGTTGGTTTTGATCGTAACGGTGACGATAGTCTCGATAAATTAATAATGTAATTCTCAGAAATATAACGTGAGCTTGCGTTACTTCCAATAGGGTTTATTTTCATACGAGACGTTTTTGTTTGTGTTAATTGGGTTTTTACACTAAGGCTATTATCAATTCCCCACTACGAAGTGGAGTAGCCCAGAAAGATAATCCCAACGCGTGGCCAACTATGCGATTAAACTACCTTTAATCGCATTGCGTGGTCCACTCGTATACGCGTTGCTTTATTTTGTGAGGCTCCCTTAATTTAAGTCCTTTCACTTGGCATCTTTTTAGGACAGCCCTGAGATTATTATTGTGGTCTCGTATTGCATCTTCTACTGTGTCGCCTTTCCCGTATACTAGGATGTCATCAACAACTGTCTTTACTCCAGATAAATTTTCAAGTGCTGCTTCTTGTCTTCGCTGATACTCTTCTGGAGCACTTGCTATTCCAAATGGCATACGTTTGTATCTGTATGTACCATAAGGAGTACTAAATGTTGTGAGATAAGAGCTTTGCTCAGTCAGTTCAACATGCCAGAATCCATCTTTTGCATCTAAGACGCTGAATACCTTGGCCTGGTGGAGATCTGGTAATATCTCGTCAATTGTTGTCATTGGATAATGTCTGCGTTGAATTTCAGCTTTTAGATCTCGTGGATCTAAACATATTTTTGTCTTATTTGGCTTGTCGATCACCACTACACTGTTAAGTGCTGATATACCTCTGTTTTCAACTATCTGCTCTGTCACTTCCATAACATTTTCAGGTTTTATGGATAGCAAGTTCATTTGTTGTATTGCTCTACAACCCAACAGAGGTCCACTAACTTTCTCATTCACAACTACAAAATCAGCTTTGTATTTCTTTCCATTCTTTGAATTGACCATTTTGACTTTGCATTGTCCAACAGGTTTAAGACTTGTGTTGTTGTACATTGTCAACACTTTAGATGTTTTCATGATTATGCTTTCCTCTGGCAAATTTTGTTGGTTGATGACATTACAACTTGCACCTGAGTCCAGTTAAAATTTTACTGCTTCACGTTTCTTTCCTAACATCATTGTAGCAAATAACTTGCATGGTTCTTGACCCAGTGTGTGTATTTCAACCAAATGTAAATCTTCATAGTCGGATGAATCGCTATCCTTATCTTGTAATGCATGTACCTTCTTCTTCTTTTGCATGCATTGTGATGCAAAGTGATTTCTTTTGGAACATAAGGAACAGGTTTTTCCATAGGCTGGGCATTAATTATGGCCCTTTGGATGCTTCCTACCACAGTATTTGCACTGAAGACTGATGGCTGCTGATTTAGATTCCCATTTTCTTGCTCCTGTACGTTGACCTTTGTACTTTGACTTTTGCTTTAGTGTATATACCTCTTGGTCTCCACTTATTTTTCGTATTTGCTGAGTTGTAGTTTCACTTATTCTTAAAGTCTCTATTGCCTTTTTAAGATCACATTCTTTTTCTCGAAATAATCGTGTTCTTGCATCTTTATCTTTGGCTCCGAGAACAAGCCTATCTTTTATCATTTCACTTTCAACTTCACCATATTTGCATTTTTCAGCCAGTTGCCGCAACCTAATAACATACTGTTCTATTGTCTCCCTTTCTTCTTGTTTGGCATCATGAAACAAGTATCGGTCATATAGTACATTTCTGCATGGAGAGAAATGTTCTTGAAGTTTGTCTAATATGGCTGTATGATTGGCCATGTCTTCTTTGTATTTCTTTGTTGTTTATACTTTCACTTCTGACACCATGTTTGTGGTTATTCACTCTCGTATAGCATGAATGAATACAAATATACTACGCATATGTGGTAAACAATATATGTTTTAATATTCATCGTACTGTCTGCGCAGTAGCTAAACAACTAAGGAGGTTGCCAGGTTACTATTTTTATTTATTTTTTTATTTATTCATTCTGAAGTAATTATAAGTAAAATACATTCAAGGATAAAAACACAGAAAAGTACAAAAAAGCAACTTATTTCCACTGTGGTCCCTAAATGAGAATACTTAAATTACAGAATAATACATAATCAAAACAACAAAGTCAAATTCAATAATCAAAAAAAGACATCATATAAATAAAGCTATGTATAATAAAGTTCAAATAAATAATGGCTTTTTATGAGTTTTTTAAAAATGTATATGGATTGTGAATTTTGAACATTATAAGGTAATTTATTCCATTCATCGATTGCGGTATCGATGAATGAGAATCTACTATGTGTACCACATTTTTGTTTATAAATTGTCATTCTAGAAGTCAAAAATCTAGTATTATAGTTATGAAATTGGTTAGTAAATTCAATGCCAGTATTTTAAATATACAGGAGAAATGCCATTAATAATTTTAAAAATTTGAATACATTTTCGTTCAGCAACTCTAGTAGAAACAGGTAGCCAATTTAATTTTTAAAATTCATTATAACCAACATGCGTTCGTGGATGTAGTCCCTAAACACATCTTATAACCTTATTTTGGGATGTTTGGAATTTATATTTAAGTTTTTTAGAAAGCGAAGAGAACCACGTACAGCCCCCATAGTCATAGTGACATTGAATAAGTGAGGGCGCAAGCAATTTACATAGATCGTATCCTATAACAGCGAGCATGTCGCGGCAAGTGCGTATTACTACTCTCTATAAAGTAGTACCATAATACCATCAGTATATAACAGGGCTTCTGTCTTTCTTTGGAATGCTTTGCCTATTACAATCCGACAGGCAACTTTCATTATACTGTATATTTTAATGCAGCTTAAAAACTCGCCCTTTTAACCTGCATTTCCTTAAAGGTTTTCTTCTGATATTCATTTTTATTGCTAAGCCCATTGAGGCTTTAGCATAAGTCATTATATAAGCCAAAATAATTGTCATATAATTTCCCATTGACCTTGGCATAATTTGATTCGCATCGCTGGTCACATTGGGTTTCGTATTCCTAGTCACTGCCACATTATTGATAGTACAAAGAACTACAAAACAGCTACAGATTGTGCCTCTGTGTATTCCTGGTAAGATAAATCAGCATTTAAATTTATAGGGTAGAAATTATTAATTAGAATGTATATAACAAGTACAAGTCCATACTATTATATTGTATATAGGTAGTGATCAGTGATAGAGTGGTTTATCACTGATGAATTTTAAGGCCTTAGAGACCGTGTGTGTGTGATTTTAGTTTCAAAAGCTATTTCAGTTCTGCTCGTTGTCTGTGTTCAGCAGTGGCGGCGCCAGAGGGGAGACAGGGGCTTAAGCCTCCCCCCATCCGTCTGGGCAAGCCCCCCACCCCCATCGGCCAAGCTCGTCGGGCAGTCGGACCAAAAAAAGAAAAAAAAAATAGGCCTAGCTTTCCCATCCCAGCCTTTTCCGGCCATCTAGAAGTCCCAATTAAAAAAAAAATCTCGTTTTGGAGGAGGGAACTCCTCCTCCAATACCCACCCCTTCATCTGGCCTCCGGCCCTTAGATAACGCTGCGCGTTATAGTTACACCCTTAAGTACTTGGCCCGCCAACTCCAACCCCCCCCCCCCCCCCCCCCCCCCCCCCCCCCCCCCCCCCCCCCCCCCCCAGTCGGACATCTTAGCCTTCCCCATAAATTATATTCTAGACCCGCCACTGGTGTTCAGTAGAGCGGAAGTTTCTGGCTTTGAGACACAATACAGAGATTGGAATCGACAACTCCTTTATCCCGGCATCCATTGAATGTACCGCGCCTTTGTTATGCAAATACTGTACAGTCAACCGAATGCACTGCTCATGTTTAGTTCATAATCACTGAACCATGTAAATGAAACAAACACCGAATAGGCTCGTCATGAAACCAGGTGAAAACACCCGCAAATCTTATAAAAACCACATGTAACACACCGCCGACAAATGTAATGGGGTGTAGTTGTCCTAGGTTGTACTCAATATCTTCATTAAAATGATTACAAGAGAAAAATATCAAACAGCCTTAGCCTAAGAAGTTAAGTCTTAGCCTTAGCCTAAGAAGTTAAGTCTTAGCCTTAGCCTAAGAAGTTTCGTAGTATTATAACATAGGTACGATGTCATGGCTCCTGATTTTACGTGTGAGTACTTGAATTTATTCCATGTTTTCACCCAAAACTTAAGAAAATCTGGCATGTAAAGTTTACATGGCTATACATAATTGTTGCAAATTTTTGAAACATTGCAACTTGCTCCATGTTATTACTATTTGACTTCTGCATTATCCTCTAAAAAATCTCTCTGACAACTGTTCCGGTAAAAATTTAAGTTTAAAAATGACCGTGTTTGGCCTTTAAAATACACGTGTTTACCCTAGGCAGGCTTAGCATGTCTACCTTTTAGACGTTTATGGCGTAATAAATAACACAGAAATGATAACTAATATGTTTTTAAAATATAATTCAAATGTTTCTAGCAGTCTTCCATAGGCAAAACTAGGTCTAGGCTCCCTAAAAATAGCCTACGCTACGGGAGGGTAGGCTCCCGCCTGGGCTTAGGTGAAAGTAAACAATGTTTGGCCCGGAGGGTATTTAAATTTTAAGTATACGCGGTATGCTCTCACGTGAAATAGGCCTACGCTATGCATAGTCTATTCGCTATAGACATATTTTTAGGATTATTCCGACCCAAAGTTTTATAAAAACATTTATCTAGTAATTTTAAAATGTCCAAAAGTATTTATTATTATTATTATTATTATTATTATTATTATTATTATTATTATACTTCGAAATTATAGAGGGCGCTATGTAAGGTCAGTTTAGTGAGCTGTTAAATATGAATATGCATAAGCATGACCTAAGTTCGACGTTCGGTGTTTGTAAAGACCACCGGTAACGACGTCCGAGTTGCTATTATAAGCGTACGTTGGAAATTGAAGATTTATGTACAAGAATAGTGGATGCTAAAAAACCAAATATCATAATTTGTTGTGCAATAATAGTAGTAGGCCTATTGATTTGCGCTACGAGGGATGCACTAGGCATGAATAGCTGTATTGTATTGTAATAATGCAGCAGATCGTGGATCCGCCCCTGTGATCAGCGACTTTACTGACTATATAGCCTAGGCCTAGACAGAGCGAACGTAATTATTCCTGTCTCTTATACACATCTAGATGTGTATAAGAGACAGATTAAATAGTACGTAATATTACTTTTACATTGGATTTTCGTTGTTTTCTGCACATATTTCGATGTAAAACGATGCCTCGCATGAATCGTTGTTATGCCTCTCACTTTTGGCAATGTCAAAACGATGCCTCGCATATATCGTCGTTTTGCCTCGCTGCCTCGCATGCCTCGCTGCCTCGCACTTTAGTACTACTCCATTTTTACTGTAGACCGGCCTTAGTTTTCTTGTTAAAATTCCTGATTTTTATATAAATTCATGCATTGCAAAAATTTTGTTTAGTAGCTGATATAATAATTAGACAAACAGAACATGAATGGGGGGGATATTATACTCATATTTTATTTTTAGCACAATTCTACTATGTACCAAAAAATGCAGTTCCTAGGCTCGCACGATCCCAATCGCGACATGAGTGTGTTCGTTCGAGGCTTGCAGTGCGTTGAAAACACTTATTGTCCCAATATAGTGCGTATGAAAACCGCCGTGGTCTCGATGTTGAACAAAAATGAAGATTTTAATTGATTTTTTTTTTGGTTTTTTTTATTGGATTGTGTTTGAAGGTATGTACACAATAACATAGTATCCTTCTGAATATTCACGTCCAATTATTTTGCTCTAATTTAGGGCTAGATTCTGTGTAGGAAGAGGCATGGCCTAGGCCTAGGGCCCTATGCCAGACTGTTGTAGTACCGTAGTAGTAGTGGCCTGCGCGGTGAATTGCATATGTCCGGCGCGCAAAAATGTGGCATAGAGCCTAGGCCTACAAGAAACCCGTCGGCGCATTTCGAAAAATATGTTTCGCGTAGATTTTGCCAAAAATAATGCTTTTGACCAAACCTAGACCCAGCTTCGGTTTAATAATATAATTAATATAATAATATAGTATAGGCCTGTAGGCCTAACCAATGAGCCTAAAATGATGCAATTGCTTTAAATTATGCAGCAATTAACGATTCCGCGCACCTATTTTCTAGCGAAATTTGAGCTGATTTTTGAGATACTGTAGGCCTATGCCTATCCTAGGCTCTGTGCAATCAAGAAATCTTTGCAGTAGTACTATTTAGTATGACCTAGCCATGATTGGCCTAGCCTAGGGCCTAGGCCTGAACTGGCTAGAGGTACATTAGGATAAGTTTGACCTCCCAGTTGGTCCAATTTGCCTTTGCGTAGGGTTTGATAATCCCCTTATCTCATCGGAGCGAATTCAATGGCTGGTCCTTGAAGCGTGCGAATTGTACCATTGAAAATAGGGGTAGTTTGTGTGAATGTAGAAAAAGTTGTAGGTGCAAGCTCATAGTACTTTATAATAAACGAAGAAGTAATATTATTATTATACTTCAGTAGGTATACATTTTTTTTAAACATTGTACAAATGTGCATATTACAGATGCTGTCTCTTATAACTGAAATATCAGGCCCGTAGCCAGACTTAGCCAAGGGAGGGGGGTTCGGAAGTGGGATCGCAGAGGCGAAACCCCAGAAGTCGGAGCTTTTTTGCACTTTTAAAGCATATATATGGCATATGTTAATATTTCTTGCAGTTTAAAATGAAAAAAACACTGAAATTAAGTAAATTTAAACATTAATATTTATTGTAAAATGCATAAATTTTAAATGCTTAAGTCATAATAGGTTCTCTTTCCAAGGAGGGTTCTCTTGTCAAAGTGGGGTTCGCTGAAAAAGGGGGTTTGGTCGAACCCCCAGGGCCTGAATATACTATTACATCGCTCATTGTCATTAATACTTTTTATATAATAAACGATTATAAATATTAAACAAAATATTAAACAAATGCCAGTTGATGTAATTTGACCAAAATGTCAATCTTTTTTCTGCTTTTTGTTAAGCTAGTTTACGGTGTTACCCCAAAAATTTGTTCTAATTTAATCACCACATCAATAAAATGTTTTTGTTTTTTTTCAGCAATCTGGTGACCTACAATTATTTTAGTTATTAGACATGTTCATCAGTTCAATCAGGGCTGATTTCTGAACATTTTACTACCTGTATTTAAATTTGTTTAAAACACAAACACTGGCACTAATATTTAAATTATAATTTTTAACCAATCATGTTTTGCTGCTTAAATGTAATTTATTGTTTGGTTATGTTTAAAAAAAAAAATCATTTTTTATACAGAATATTAACAATTATAATTTAATCCTTCTTTTTTAAATAGCAGCCCCAAGTGCTTGGAACTCTAAAAAGAAACGTACGTTCTCACCATACCCATAGGTAAGTTGTTTATTTCACTGTTTCATACAACTTGTACTTTTCATAACCTATATATCAAGGAAATTAATGTTTTTAAAATTGATATCAGGGTCTCGCGGCCCATCTTAGCAATACTTAAGTGTGGTGGGACCTCCACGCTTTGGCGAATATAATGATTTGACTGCCACCTATAAAAATTGTTGATGGAAAGGCAAGGGCAATCAAAATTGACATATCATTAATATTATGTGCCAAAAATAGAAATGCTTTGTATTCACTTTTTAGAATTTTTTGCACCACACTTTAAATTTTGCAGGAAAAAAACATTTTCAAAATTCTGCCAATCTCCTGGCGAGAGGGCCGTGATGTGAAATAAATCATTCTTCTGTTTGTTTGTATTTCTTTGGTTGTGTAATCTCATTTTGTATTTTCGGAGACGTAAATGTTAAATGTGATTTCATGATTGACATGAGTTGGTCTAGGTTTGATCGCAGTCCATATACAGCTCGTTTGCGATGATTAAACTCCGAGTGTATCAATTCACCGCCTTGCTCTGCCAACAGGCCTATCCCCACCTTCCACTTCCTCATGAAAGGGATTGCATGATGTTCTAACATGTGTAGCTTGGGCTGTACTACACCCGGAGCAATACGTCTGTATTCTCTTGAAAATGCATGTATGATTTTCTCTGTAATTGAAAAAAGGCACAATATATTAACTATAAACAGACATTCAGGAATTAATTTAATGAGACTACGATTTTCAATTTTTTGTTGATTGTAATAACATTATATTTTTTTTTTTCTTACATAGCTGATCACAAAAGCTTGGAAATAGCCATCAATCCTAACATAAAGAACAGATGAGTATAGATTTACTTGATTG